AATGTTTCTTGCTTCACTACAAGTCCTGAGAAAAATATATTTTATAAGTACTCTATAGATAAACTTATTTAACTGCATTTGGGTGTTGAACAACTAGGTTTGAGGGGACAGAAGGCATAATTCTACAGCATTATTTCCAAATGCAAGTACATAATATAGTATTTAGGCATAAATATCAAACAATCATATAAATACATTACCACTTACCACTGTGCAACACCATTGACATAGACACCAGAAGAATCGCAATCATTTTTTGTTTAATCCAGACAAGAAAAAGTCACACAGCAGACTCGTGCTCCTGGTCAGTTAAGTAAAACGTCAGGCAAAATGTTACCTCTTGAATCTGGGAGTGAGAAGATATCAGCTTAGAAAATAATTCTTTTGTAGCCTGCCCATATTTCTGCTTTTATTCAGTTTTTACCCTTTTCATGCTAAATGCACATATTACAGCAGTAATGAGCCCTCTGTATCCTTCAGATTTTACCAATGTCCTTTATAAACCTGGCTAACAAGAATTATTTTGGTATTGCTTCAGATGAGTCAACAAGTTCTACTAAAGTGCCATAGACAGGGGAAGTCCATTTAAGCAATAAAGTGATGTACTTGAAGTGTCTTTTGTTTTGCAAAGAGTTTTCACATCTGACTTGATCTAACAGGATGCTTAAAAATTCTTCGTGTTATGTTTAAATGCAGATGTTGTGAAACAATGTGAAAATTAAAAGACATTTTGGGATTACTCCTATTGAACCCAGTTAATCTGCACAATCCATTATATTAGTTTGCTTCACATCCCAAAAATCTGTCACACTTTGTAGTCAAACATTTACTCTAATCTGTGTTGAGACCAGCCTAATGTATCATATATTTTCCTAATGATAAACACTATGTTGTTTGAAGAAGCTAAAAGCCTTGCACTAGTATTCATTAAATGACAGATAATAGATTGATTTTGAATTACTGACAGAGTTTGCCCTCAAATTTAGAATGATTTTCTAAAATTTAGCATGAAGTTTTTTATAGCAAAATAACTAAAAATTAATTTATCAGTTTTCAAAGTTGTGTGTAAAAGTTGATTAGCTGATCTCCTAAGGTCAAATATTGCATTTATTTGTATTTTTAAAATCTTGTAATATTTCAGGAAGTGAAGTTATAAATCTAATGGGTCTAAATATTTATAATCTGTTATCCCAAATTTCTTACCTACATTTTAGTCAACAACTCTACAATCCCAAAAAGCTTATTCTACATTTTCTTCCTGATTCCTGTATTATAGAGTACATCTAGAAAGGCTTACCTTGAGGGATATTATTCGAAAGCTGTTGGATGGAGGACAAATGGATTTCAACAAAGTCAGTACTAAGTTATTTATACCCACTTGGATATATACCTTGCCCATGTGACCACTGCCTTTATCAAATCCACTTCAACATTTATTAATTAATTCTTCCACAAGATTCCTTACAGTCATTATGCTCACAGAGTATCTTCGTAATATAGCTCCAACCACATAAAGTATCTATACTAATAAGTCTGTTCTGCAGGGGCATTCACTGTGTAGTAACTTTCCCTAATACTCTTGGCTGTAATTAAATAACAATCATCTCATTGTTATTAATCACTTAAAAAATCTCTGGCACATGTGAATATGGCTTTAATAGCTTAGCAAGAGGTGGTGTTCAGTGATGAAAGATGACTGAAAATTTATACAGCTTTAAAGACTGGCATTCCTCAGGGTTGAGATGTCTGCTCTCGTCTATCCATGGTGGCTCTGATCCAAAGCTGAGTGAAATCCAGGGGAGGGTTGAGTAAATGAGTTTTGGGATGATTCTCCTCATCTAGAAGCTGTGCTTTCTGCCAGGGTCAGACACAGTTACCCTTCAAAGATGCCATTAACAAAGGCAAGCTGTCCACTGAGTTTTAGCATGGAGAAATGAGAAGTCTGACAAATTGAGAATTGTAAAAATACTTATGTGGTTCCTCCAAGACCCTTGAGCTACATTGTCTTCAGAAAGGCCTTTGACACTGTCTACAGTAAGATCCTCATAGAGAAGCTGTTGATATATGGGCTGGATGAGCCCAGTGAGGTGGGTTGAAAACTTTCTGAATGGAGGGACCTGGAGGGTGGTGGTCAGTGGCACAAAGTCTAGATGGAGGCCAGTGACTAGCAGTGTACACCAGTGGTCAGTACTGGGTCCGGTCTTTCTTAACATCTTCATTAATGATCTGGACGCTGGAGCAGAGCATATCCTTAGCAAATTTGCAGATGACACTGAACTTGGATGGGTGACTGATACTGCAGAGAGTCATGCTGGCATTCAGAGGGACCTTGACAGGCTGGAAAAATGGGCCAAGAGGAACTTAATGATGTTCAACAAGAAATGCAAAGCCCTGCACCTGGGGAGGTACAACCCCATGCACCAATATATGCTGGGGGCTGCCCAGCTGGAAAGCAGCTTGGCAGAAAAGGACCCTGAGGTCCTGCTGGACATCAGGTTGAACTTGAATAAGCAGTGTGCCCTTGCAGCAAAGAAAGCTAAGAGTATGCTTGGCTGTGTTAGACAAAGTATTGCCAGCAGATTGAGGGAGTGGATGCTTCCCCTCTTCTCAACACTGGTGAAGCCACATCTGGAGTACTATGTCAAGTGCTGGGCTCCTCAGTATGAGACATACATGGACAAACTTGAGAGAGACCAAAGAAGGGCCATAAAGATGATTAAGAGACTAAAGCAGCTCTCATATGAGGAGGGACTGAGAAAAATGAAACACTTCAACCTAGAGAAGGCTCAGGGGAATCTCATCAATGCCTAGAAATACCCGAAGGAAGGGTGCAAAGAGGACTGAGCCAGGCTCTTTTCAGTGATGCCCTCATGACAAGAGGCATCAGGCACAAATTGAAACACCTTATGAAATTATGCCTTAATGGTATGAAAATTCATTTTCATAAGAGTTTTGGATCTTCCAGTTGGAGTCTCCAGGGACTGCCTGAAGTATATTGATGAATATTTAGTATATTGATGAACAATTTCAGCCTGACAAATCAGATTGGGCTTGACTGGGCATAGTAATATATATGAGTTCTCTGAGATACTGATTTGCTCCTATGCCACCATCATTTCTGTACTTCTGACAAACACCCACAGAGGCTTTGAAGGACTGAAAAACCTGGAATTTTCAAAAACTTAATTTGAAAAAAATTTTTTTTTTTTGAGGGCAGCCAATGTGTTAACTTTTTTTCATGGAGCCTAGTTTGTTGATTACTTCTCTTATTTTGTAGTTTTTCTCATTAATTTTCATTATTCTCCTGGGAAAACCAAATAGTAAGTGTTAAACAACTGTGAAAAGAAGGTTGTAATTCAGGACAGGTGCCGTTTATCCTTTCTCAGCTCCTTTCACATGACACACATCACTATGTGATACCTTCTAATTCTCTCCCCATGAACATACTAGGGCAGTAGTTCTCAGTCCTTTCCAGGACCTTAGAGTGGAGATGGCTGTGATGCCAGACACAGCTCAGGCACACCCTGTCACGCTATGGATGGGTTATCACTCTGTCCAAAGAGTTGTATTCCTGCAGCAAAAAACCAGAATGTTTTCTTAAAAATAAAAAAGTGTCCTTTAGCATAGAGATCAGTGCTATAACTCAGAGCTGATTAAATTCATTAAAATAATATTTTTAAAGTGATTTTTTTAAAATATTTTTCTTCCAATATTGCCTTTTTATTCACACCTAAAAAACCCTGCAGAAAGTCAGACTTTAATAACTTTTTAATCCCCTTACATTCTTGTTTTCATGTCCTTCTTCCTGAGTTCTCAGAAAACTTAATGATAAAAATGTAACAAACAACATAGATTTTTTTTTTTTAAATCATGTCTTCAGGCTTTAAGATGTTTTTGTGAGATTTAAAAGCAACTGTTGCACAAAGGTGTAATTCGCCCAGTTCTTCCCAGCAGAACTGATCCTGCCTTGGGTGAGGAAAGGGGCTGCAGAGCAAGATCTCTCCACAGCATTGCAGTGCCTTGGCAATGCTAATATGCCCGATTTCTACATTCACTGTATTGACGTTCCTATTTCTTCCACTGGCCTAATATCAACTGTAATTGGTGCTACTCCAATCTATCCTGCTCTCTGATATGACAGAAGTGCTTCTGTCATGTTATTGGGCACAACAGTGAATGCATTTTGGAAGAGGACTGCTGCATCCCGTCTCTCCCTGGAGGCAGCATTCCTGATGGTCCCACCTTTCTCTGTGGCTTTATGTTATTTTGAACAGATATTCAGTGAAATGTCAATGTGCAGCAATTGTAGTGCAAATAATCTTCTTGTTTGAAATATTGATGTACTTAACAATGTATGATATGATAGTAGCATCAAGGATTGTGCAATTTGTTTGGTTATTCTTTCCTTTTTTAAAACTGTTTTTTAGATCACCAGAGGTACATACAAAGAAGGAGAAGAATCTTGGCGAGCTCAGGCAAATATATCAAAGAGTGGGAGTACAAGAAGTCTGAATAATTCCTTGGTTGAGCTCTGCACTAGATGAGTTGCTGAAATAATGAGAGACTCTTGACTTGGAATAATGGATAATCTGCATGTGTTTGACATCAGGAAAAATCCTTCTTGTCTTCAGTATCTAATGTTGCTTTTAAATTATTTTGTATTTGTTCATTTTGATTACTTTACCTTAGTTGTAAGTAAAACTGGAATAAACTATTTGCATTTACTAGCCAACCATATAAATATCCTTTATAAAATACAACTTTTAAAAGCCTTTCAATGTTTTTATTGCAGTTACATCACTTGTATAAAATACATCTGGTTTTACACATTATTTTTACAATGCCTTGGAAAAAGACACATTTCTATGTTAACATCTGGTTAATAGCTTGTCTTGTTACAAGTATTTGCAAATAACGTTGCATCCTGCTTTTTACACTGAGAAAGGAGACAACTAAAACTGCCACCAGTCTTCCGATTTTCAGTAAAATTCCTCAGTTCTCTAGACCGACTTGCAGATGTTTTTAAGGCATTTTTGTTTTAATGCTGGAAGGACACAAGAAAACTGTAATCAGAAGAGGTTTTATGAGGAAAATATTAAAAGCATACATGAAGGTTAAATAACCTTTTTTTTTTTTAATCCCTTAACAAATTGTTATCAGATAAAATAGCTGTCTGGTGAAAAACAGCAAGTACTCTGGGAATATCTAAAACATTTTGTTATACCTTCATAATAAGGTATGCAGAGATATAAAGAAAAAATATACTTACTGTGGGTGTAAGCAATTCTTTTGACTCCTTCACAGACATAACTTGCATTTTTCAAGAACCAGGAATAGTATTCAACACAGTACCTGAAGTTAGTTGAAGTTAGGAGAATAGTAACTTGTTATCTTTCATAAGCACTGCTGTATGCCTATCAGACTGCTAATATTGCATATGGAAATAGAAAGCTAGATCCTGGCATCAATGATGTAATTAAATACTTGGAAAAAATCAGCAGAGCTTTATTCACTTAGTTTGAATGCTGGAAGCCAGATTAAGTATGGATCAATGTACTGGGGACCCATTTGGATCTCAGCCAGTAGCCACAGACTCTCAAAAATAAGCATTGGTCATTGAAAATTGTCATTTGAAAAAAGACCAATGGAATATTTTAAGCAGAGAGAGAGAAAATAGTGCCAGGTTTTACCTCATGGAATCCTTTCTGGAATATCTTCTCTGACCAACACAGAGGCACAGCTGAAAAAACCTACACAGCTCCATCACACAGGGATTGATCTTCTGCACTATAAGAGTGACAGGAGGTGAGGTCACACGGGACTCTTTGAGGATCGCCTGTGGACACCCTGGGGAAAAATACAACTCTGAACTAGTTTAAATACTTGTCCCATCAAATTTCTTGCAATGCCTTATTTGGGCTATGAGAAACATGCAGATTAATAAACTCATGTAGGTATCTTAAAATCAAATCTGAGTGAGGCAGATAATTGAAGAGAAAACCACACACAGCCTGGCAGCTACGGGAGTGAAAGCACAAATATTCTGTTCAATTTATTATTACCTACCATAACTGGTTAGTTACTTAAAACCAGCTCAATTTTATTTATCACAAATGTAAGGAATAACCCTAAAGATATAATTTCTTTATTGTTACCTGTTTAGTTGGAGGTTCAGTTGCCACTGAAGCATCAGTTTTCCATAGTGCAAAACAGAAAGACAAGGAGCACCACTGTACATTTATTATATTTTCTTATGCAAATGTTACTTTAATGAAAAATTAACTTTCAGTTCCACATGCTTCCCTACATTCACCCCTAAATCTGAATCCTAGATTAAATATGACTAAGCTAATAAACAAACAGACTCTCACTTCTCTCTCCATCACTTTTTTTAACCTCATTGACAAAATAAACATGGTTTATGCAGAGGTTATGGCTTTCTCTCTGTCACTCTCTTTGTGTGTTAGTTTTCCCCTTCCTTTTTCTACTAACTTGAATAATCAGCTAATTTCAGCCCAGTTTTTAGGATGGGTGAAGATTCTCTAGATAAATACATTCCCACAGGTTTCATGAAAATTAACAAGTAACTGGAGGAGACAAGGTAAATTTTTGCCTGCACTGACAGGAAGGTAGGAATAATTTCTCCATTTTACTATTTGTTTGCCAGGATCCAGCTGGTTAATCAGTGTTTTTTCCTTCAAGTAGCCTCCATTATATTATTTTAACTTAAGAAAAATGCAGGGAAATGGGGTACCTGGAGTTGGACTCCCTCTTCTCCTCTCCTGAGCCAACTAAAAGGAAAATATTTAGTTTACTCTATTCACTGAATCTTCTGCAGTCAGCAGCAAGAGATAAACATTTGCACATCAAACATTTCATCCTGCCAGCAAATGCAGCTGTGCTAGACTGCAGAAAAAGACGTACTATAGAAGAGGTGATGGCAGCTTATAGCAAAATTCTGAATTGCTATGTGGGTGGCAAACACAATCTCTCTTCAGACTCCCTTTATATTACAGAAAAGAGAAAAGAAGGCAAGATGAAAATGGGGGAAAACTGATAAAAAGTCAGGCAAAGCTGAAGCTGTTTTCAGGGCTTTTCTTCAATATATTATGAGAAAAAACCTAACATTTGCCATAATGTTGTCTAGTCCAAAACATTATCTGTCACACATCATCTTGCACCTTAGCAGCTGTGTTACGGTGGGTCAGAATCAAAGGACTTGCTAGGAAAAAAAACAAAAAAACAAACAATATTTAAAAGGTGTTAAAAGGCTACTGGGGCACGGCTAAAGTAGGTGTGTAACCACCTCTCCTTTGCATATTTAATAACTCTGCTCTGAAGAGGAAGTGCTTTGTGTGAGGGCACACTTTGGGTCACTGCAGTGAAGCCACCTGCCCTTCAAAGCATCACATCTGACCCTGGGGAACTGCAGGTTCCCATGTTATGTTGTCCCATGCATACAGAAATCCTTCAAGAAGGATGTCTCCCCTACACCAGCACTCCAAAAAATAAGGGACATCCCTGTGAACGCTACACTGGGACATTTGAGAGGGCACATTTTGCATGATCTGAGTGTCTGCCACATCATGTAATTCGTGCATGTTTTGCATGATGTGGAACTCCCCCTCACACGCACTTGTTGGGGTGGAAGAGTCCAAATGTGCAGAGTGAAGGCAGCTGCAGTGTCACTGTTAACTGGCTTTTCCATTTGTGTAACTAGCAGGAGCTTTTGGCCGTGTGTAGATAAACTGCTTTACCTGCAGAGTATAATCCCCTTAGACAGTGTAATTGCATTTCCAGTTTCACGTCTCATGTGCTTTACAGCTTTGGGCCATCTTATGTTATCTGATAGGAGAGGTTATGGAGGTTAAATCTGGACTAATGAAGTTCTGTTGAAATAAGCTTGAGTTGTCTAGTGCTGACAAGAAGTTTAATATAAAATGGCATTCATGGGCAGAAGGAGAACAAAGGCTCTGCCAACCTGAAAGAGATCACTATGGAACTATTTCTCTTCTGCCAGCACTTGCCCAAGGTAGCAGAAGTCACGGAGAAGTGATGGGCAGGTAGTTGTTGCTCCTAAACTCACAGACTCCTCTGAAAATCGGTTATGTGTCAAAGGCACTACACAAATATCAGGCATAATTAGTCAGGGATGGGCAAGATGGAGCACAATCTCTTAATCTTGGCAGCTTTGCATAAAGGTCATTAGGCTTTGTCCACTTAATAGCATTTGACACACCTTGTTTTTTTTTCCACTTGGTGGCATTTAAAAATTAATGAATTCTTACATTAGTAAACACTCTTTGTGTTCACAACTGAACATCAGAGCATGAGGCAATGAGGTTTTAATATGCTATCCATGAAAAGTAAGTTAGAGTTGCTGTGAATAATTAAAACTTGCTAAAGGCCACCTTCCAATGAATCTCAGTCATCACTGAAGTGGGTATTTGCTATCCTGCCTAACAGGTGTTAAATGCTTTACTCAAGCTATGTGTTTTGCCAGCAGAAATTCAGCATTATCTAAATATAAATTGAATGCCTACAAATTCTATATGGGAAAGAGAAGACAAATAATGAAGCTGAAAGTTAAACAAGTTGCTTTGGTTTTCATTTTTGTCAATTTTAGATTAATGTGGTATTTGCATAATACTATATTTATTTAATGTTGAAATTCAGTTTCAATTAATATTGCATTTAATTTTGTTTGGATTTGATAGTATACTGACATCATATTCCTGAAATTAAAATTTTCAGTGCTTCATAATAATGTTTTATATTTCTTCTGTCATAAATTTCTGATGTGAAATGTGTTCTTTGTATTCAATTAATAAATTCCTAAAGATTTGGATTTAAATTTAAAAAATGAATTAAAAGTGGGAATTTATTTCCTTCTTTCCTAGGAAATTGAGTCATTCAAAAATGCCAGAAAACACAGGAACCATAAGTTCCTGAGCAGACCTTTGCTCTTGTCTATTTGAAATTACCACGTTACTGTCACAGGCAGATAAGTGAGCAATTCTTGCTACAGTAAACAGACTTCTCCATTATTAAATCATATCACATCTCTCTGACATTGAGATTAAATTTTGTTGTCAGCAAAAAACAATGTTACGGCCACTATGATTAATTCAGACTTGCATTATCCCTCCCTGCATACCCTAACATGCACACTTGCATATTTTATCAGTTAGCATCCACTTTTGTGGTTTAAGAAATTACTTCTCAGAATATCTCAGTCTTCACAGCATTATGGATGCACTTCATTGCTTTGTGATCCTGTTATTCAATTTATTTCCCTGAATGAGTGATTGATACGTGCAGGTAGACAACCTCTGTCATCATGGTTTCTGGTAGAGAGGCATTTAGTGACTCTCCATTCCCTGATCTCATTGAAATCCATGTTTCTCAGCCTTTTCAAAACAGAAGTTTTTAGGTTCTCCAGGGTCTATAGTGTTGCTCACCAGACAGCAATTGGCACATTAAGAAACTCTGGAATTGTGCACACCACAAGTCCAGTCACATACTCCAGCAACTTCCAGTTCACTGGCTGTTATTTAATCCTCAAGCCAAATGCACCCAAAGCAAACAAGACATGCAGAGAACTTCAGTTTTGTGCACAGAATTTTTGATGGATAAGAATTACCATAGCATATTCCTCTGCTCCTAAAAAAAGATAAGAAGACCTAGTTCACCTGAAATTCTCTTCACACCATCAAGAGTGTCAAGAGGTCAAACTATATTCATGTGATATGACATTGACTCATTTTCTTCATGCAAACAGTATATGTCATGGGGGGTAAGGTGAGGACTCTGGTATTTTGAGGTCTTTAAATAGAAGTAAAATGAGAGAAAAACAAACAACAAAAAAGGATATTAGACTTCCTATCTCCACAATTTGAGAAGCTTCTTACATCAAGAATGGCTCCTTGGCTCAACACCAATGAGCCTTCTCTTTGGCAGCATGTGTCAGTAGATAGTACTTGCACCGCAGTGTTTTCATGCAATAGCTTCCTCCTCCTCTTCCCTGACACTGCCTTTCTGTAGGACTTGTGTTTGTATGATCACTTGGTGCTATTGTCAAACTTTGTTTTTCAGGGTCAGTATTTTTAACTCTGTTAATGTTATTTTCTTCTGAAAACAGATGCTCCACTGAATCATATGCTCTTAAATATTTTATTTTCTAATAGTACAAGTAAAAAAAAAAAAAAAAAGAAAAAGAAAAAGAAAAGAAGACAAGCAACCCAATGTATGCTGATAAATTCAGCCAATGAGAACAGGACTGGGAACTATGGAAAACCTGATCAGAATCAGCAAAAGCTAAAAAAAGTAACAGCACTGGATCCTGGTCTTGGAATGCTGCAATAGGCAACAGCAGCAAAACCAAGGGAAAAAGCAAATTAAGTAAGATACTACTGCTCACCTACTGTGTGATTATTCACAGGGACAGAAAAATTGAAGATTTGTGAAAGAACCTTCCTCAGTGACACAAATATGTTTACTCCCCCCAAAAAATCCATTTACAGACAAGTAAAGTAATGTTGGAATTCAGCAAAGAGCTGGGAGAAGTTGGTATTCAAAATACCATTAGAAATGGTGAGACTAGCACCCCCAAGGGTTTGAAAGATGTCGACAGGATGGGGTGTGTTTTACTTAGTCCATGAAGGGGGCCTACAGGAAGGTTGGGGAGGGACTTTTTACAAGGGCAAGGAGTGATAGTATGAGGGGTAATGGCTTCAAACTGGACAAGAGTAGATTTAGATGAGATCTGAGGAAGAAATTCTTTCCTGTGACAGTGGTGAGACCTGGAACAGGTTGCCCAGAGAAACTGTGGATGACCCCTGGAAGTGTTCAAGGCCAGGTTGGATGAGGCTTTGAGCAACCTGTTCTAGTGGAAGGTGTCCCTGTTGATGGCAGAGGGTTTGAAACTAGGTGGTCTTTAAGGTCCCTTCCAACCCAAACCATTCTGTGATCCTATGATGCTGTTACCTAGAGCTGAACTAGTCATCATCAGACTCCAAAACTTGTTTTAGTGGCTGAGATTTATTCCCATTGTACTCCTGAGCTCTGCTCCTACTTTGTAAATTTGGGAGCAGGTAGCCTGGACTCAGACACACACATGCTCAGCATCCAAACTAGGTGCTGGACTCTCCCAGAGTTCAGATTCCCTTCCTGGCATTGAATCAGGTCCAGTTTTTCAAAAACAAATATGGTAAAAGTCCCCTAGACATTTTGCGTGCTTTACATACATAAGATATCACATAAATTAAACATGTATGTTGTTTCTGCCTGGGAAAATTTGGATATTGATATACTTTCAAACATACTTTTATTTTTGCTGCATGAGGTGCAGCTACTTACTGGTAGCTGAGTAAAGTTTCAGTGTCACACCAGGCCTGTACGGTGGCGTAGACAGTACTGAGGAAGGCAAATCTGCAGGAGGGAAAAGAGTATAAGTTGTCTTGATCTCTTAACACGAAAAAATATAAAGGAAGTTTGACTGAAAGAATAACAGGGAAAAAATAAAGCTGCAGTCACAGACCACTAATGAACACTTACACAGACTTTGATATACATTCACAGTCATCTATTTCTGTATATATTATTTTCTATTTCACGAATGTCCCAACTGACACACCTTGTTATTATCCCAGTTCAATCTTACCTGGCTCTGTTTGCATCAATTTGCTGGTTTCTTGAGGAGACCCTGTCTGCATCCAAAATGCATGCATGTCAGCTATGGGAACAGAGAGACACATGCTTCCTGTCATTCAGGATAGTTGTTATTTATCTGCCTTCTGAGAAGAATTGCTATATGTGAGACAGCTCAACAACACAGTCCCTCAGCCAGTACTTCCAGTGGCATATAAAAATGACAAGATAAAAAAAGGACAGCAGCTGTACTTTGTTAGATCTTTAAAAGTCTATAGGCTGTGGAAAAGAAGGATTTAAAGAAGGTATGTTTAGTGGAGACAAAAATAAGCAGATTTGCATTGCTTTTCCACAGGTCTGCTGACCAAATTTGGAGCAAAATGTGAAGGAAGACCTGGGTGACAGAGGTGTCGGTGAGGAGCAAGACTTTGTTTTTTTCCTCAAAGGGTAAGAAACTCCAGATGGACCCTATAACAGATTTTAGCACTTCTACAATAAAGAAATCATAGAATCATAGGATTATAGAATGGTTTGGGTTGGAAGTGACCTTTGAAGGTCATCTAGTCCAACCTGCCTGCAGTGAGCAGGGGCATCTTCAACTAGATCAGATTGCTCAGAGCCTTGTCCAACCTGACCTGGAATGTTTCCAGGGATGGGGTTTCTACTGTGTCTCTGGGAAATCTGTTCCAGTGTTTCACCACCCTCATTGTAAAATCTTCCTTATATCTAGTCTGAATCTCCCCTCTTTTAGTTTAAAACCATCACCCCTTGTCCTGTCACTACAGGTCCTGCTAAAAAGTTTGTCCCCATCTTTCTTATAAGCCACCTTGAAGTACTGAAAGGCAGCAATAAGGTCTCCCCGGAGCCTTCTCTTCTCCAGGCTGAACAACCCCAACTCTCTCAGCCTTTCTCCATAGCAGAGGTGTTCCAACCCTCTGATCATTTTTGTGGCCTCCTCTGGACCTGCTCCTCCAGGTCCATGTCTTTCTTGTGATGAGAAACTGACTTACTACTGACTCAGAGTGGATGTCTATGAAGAGCTTCCCAACGTCTACCTCAGAGATGTGGTTTCAGCTTTTGGCCAAACCCCACAGCTAGCAGGGTAAATTGAGTGTCAGTCCTCCATGCCATACTCACTGGGGCTGGGCTGCAGGGCTGGCAATGGGGCCGGGCTCCCCTCAGCAGTTGAAGGGGTTCTGGCTGTCCCTCGTGGTCTGAAAGCATCCACGTGTGGTGATGGAAACCCCAGTTCTTTCACTCCAACTGTCTTTGGCCATGGTGGGAATCTTGTGGTGAGGATTTCCTCTCCTTTCAGGGCAAGAGGGATCCTGGTAGCTGGAGAAGCAGGAGAGACAGAGACCAAGGGAGGTCACCAACAACACAAGGGCACAAGTAACATGCTGTGGATGCTGGTGGCCCAGAGCAGCAATGAGTGTAAACACTGGAGGACAATAAAATACACCCAGAAAAACCCATCTACTCCTTGAGCGCTTCCCCTGGCAGGTGAGTGGCCACATCTCCATCTCACTTTAAATATGGAAACATGGAGAGTGTCAATAATGTTTGAAATTTTAACTGAGAACACTTTAATATGCAAATTTTCATAAACAAAAAAAGAAACAGAAATGTTCCTGTGAAGTGGTGGGGTTTTTTCTTCACATACATTATTTTTTATTTTATAAACTGCTTCACTACAGAGGAAAGAGATGAAAGCTCTCATCTGTGTGAAGGGGAGCAGGCAAGTACTGGAGGGCAGATACTGGAATTTGGGAACTGCTGACATTTTGTGGCAGGAGTGACACACAGGGCTGGAAGAGATAACGAAGGTTGGTATGTGGTTCAGCAAAATAAAAGTTCTTATAAAAAGACAGCAGGCTGACTAAGGAATGTGTAGAAATTTTGTTGTAGACAGATGCAGCTTCAGTGATGAGGAGGTACGAAGTAAAATTCTGAATTTCTCTTTGCTCCTACTATGTGGAAGCAAGTGTAAAGGTTTGTTTTTCTGCTTTCAAAATGAGGCGGATCATAGCTTTTCTATCTTGTAGCCTTCTGGCAAAGCTAAAAGCACTGAATCATCATAGGATCACAGAATGGTTTGGGTTGGAAGGGACCTTAAAGATCATCCAGTTCCAACCCCCCTGCCATCAGCAGGGACACCTTCCACTAGAACAGGTTGCTCAAAGCCTCATCCAACCTGGCCTTGAACACTTCCAGGGAGGGGGCATCCACAGCTTCCCTGGGCAACCTGTTCCAGGTCTCACCACCCTCACAGGAAAGAATTTCTTCCTCAGATCTCATCAAAATCTACTCTTGTCCAGTTTGAAGCCATTACCCCTCATACTATCACTCCTTGCCCTTGTAAAAAGTCCCTCCCCAACCTTCCTGTGGCCCCTTCAGGTACTGGAAACTTATGAAATGTTCAGGTACTCACAACTGAACATCATATAAAGTCAAAGACAGAGAAAAAAATATGAAAAAAATACAATAAAAAAGAAGATGAAATGGTTTGAACTATCCTTTTCTTGGTTTAAAAACAAACTTTTTTTTTTTTTAACTTCTTTGTCTCCTTAGAAAACTTATTTTTCTAACAACCCTCATACTATCACTCCTTGCCCTTGTAAAAAGTCCCTCCCCAACCTTCCTGTGGCCCCTTCAGGTACTGGAAACTTATGAAATGTTCAGGTACTCACAACTGAACATCATATAAAGTCAAAGACAGAGAAAAAAATATGAAAAAAATACAATAAAAAAGAAGATGAAATGGTTTGAACTATCCTTTTCTTGGTTTAAAAACAAACTTTTTTTTTTTTAACTTGTCTCCTTAGAAAACTTATTTTTCTAACAAAATGGCAAAAAAAAAAAAAATCTTGGTCTTCTTCTATTCCCTAAACTATTCAGTGCATTACTGACCTGATCTGCTGCTGTTTAGGACAAAATTTTATCTTACTCTGTAATTGTATTTTAATATCACAGTGCTGAGCAGCAAGCATACATGATCACTTAACAAGACATTAATCAAGAAGAATATAAATTTAGGTCTGACAATACTTGCTCACTTTTAAATGTCCACCCAGATTCCGTTGATGGATCCACTCTTTTGTTTGAGTCTTCCTGTAATTTCATGAAACTTGAATAAATCGAATCTAGATTTTTCAGGTATGAGAAGCTGGGTTAGTATGCTCACCATTCATCACAATTTGCATGAAAAAAAGGAAAGAAATCAGGTTCTGGTGCAAAAGAAACAGCTGGTGTCTTTTTAAATGAAAGTCATTTTTGGCAAAGTGTATTTGATCTTTTTTTTTTTTTTTACAGGACTAAAACATCATGTAGCTTTGAGAACAGGTGAACTTGTCACTGATTTCACTGTCTGCCTTTTTCATCAAGCATTGAAAATGAGAAATAGTCATGGGCAGTAATGAGAGGTGAGTATCTGAAGTTCAGTTCAACCTGGCAAAGCAGTTTTGGTTGAGGAGCCATGCAGAATACTGGCTGAAAGTATTCAACTCCTTTCTGAAGGTAACTCATGTAAAAGTAGGAGATAATTGATGCTGAGAGAGCTAAGGGAGGTGTTCATTTAGATTAAGAACATCAGGAAGCCTTCACAGGCCAGTGCTGAATTATGTAAAAACTCCTATCCCGGGAGGTCCTCATAGCTAATAACTTAAAAGTTTGTAAATTTTATTTACCTTTGTAATAGAAATATTATATTATACTTACAATAATATAAATATTAGTCTAATAAATTATAAAATATATAATAATGTACAAATATATACAAATAATCATAAAATATATTTTAAAAAATATTTTTACATTTTGAAGTTGGAGCATTTATTGCAAGTGCTACCTGGACGTAGTTTTCATTGCTGTTGCTGTTTCCTTTTATTCCCTAGGTTGTACTTACCCAGGTCAGAAGATTTGTTACTGGAAAATGTGTAATTGATAACAGGAGATTTCTCCAGCATTTCCCAAAAGTCAGACAGATTTCTCCCTGCAAATAGAAATGTTTACAAACATCAAGAAAGCTTGTTTCCAGTATAAGACATCACTGAGAATAAATAGGGCAATATTTTGGGTTGGACTGGTTTTAACATTCACCTGTCTGCCCTGTCATCACACAGATGTAGATACAATCTGAGTCATTGCTCTGACGCACTGAAAGGAAAAAAAATAAAAAAGTAAAAGAGATCATTGTTACCAGTTTTCATTAAGTGATACTATCTTAAATAGTTGAAAACATAAACACAAAATGGTATGTGGCTACTACAACTGGCCAAATATTTTCCTTCTGATTTCATTTTTGACAAAAAACTCGAATAAGCACCAAATCCAAATGCTGATATTTCCAGGAGAAATATTTTTTATCTAATTAAAATTCTAAATTACAAACATTTTCACATGGGGAAAAAAAAAAAAAAAAGTTCTTCAGATAATATATCCCATAATTTTCCTTCGGAAATTATAATTCTTCAGAATAATAATATTTAATAATAATTCATGAAACTTTCAAATGAAACATGGTTGCTCAAAGAAGCCTGTGTCTATATTATATATATACACTCATTGTATATGTATCTTGTTCCTCTAAGGAGAGTGTTACTACACAATCCGTCCTTTACAAGAAAAGTGCTGCTGAGTAAGAGTAATAGGCTTTTATACACATTTCTATTCTTGTTCCCGTGCCAGAAATAAATCAGACAAATGAGATTATGATAAATGTTAAAAGGAAATGCAAACCTGAAAGAATAGAAGTGGATTTGAAAATTTCTGTGAGATAACTGGTGGAGTTTCCAATAATATCAACAAGTAAAGCTGTAAAATCTAAACAACAAAATAATAACAAAAAATGATTAAAAATACATATTCTACCATCTATGTTAAGTCAAAAAATCACCTTTATATGTGATCATATTTTAGATATTTACTTATACGTGATAATGATTAAAATATTTTGAAGTTCAAAATGTTTCTGCTGAATGGGAGTGAATTTAGGAAGCCACTGGAATAATCTGCAGAAGTATATTTCAAAGATGATACCCAAAATACCACCAATGTGCCTAAAAGTAAACTTAAATGGAATTTAAAAAATCTGCTAAGGAATTTAAGGAATCTGTTCAAGAGAACAGTTTAAAGTAACACTCTACTTAACCTGCTTTAATGTAGGAGAACCAAAGCCTGTAGGCTTTGCCTGTACTAACTACCTATCTGCCATGTGGGACCTCCTAGGAGGCATCTGATGGTCTCCTTAGAGGTCTACTTCAGATATACTGTCAATGTTGTGTCCTGGTTTTTGCTAGGATAGGGTTAATCAGGTCAAAAAATGGCTAGTGTTGGTACAACTTTTTAATAACAGTTTCTAGCAGGTTAATGTTCTCATTTAGGGAGTAACAGACATGAGCCCCGTGTCAGGTGCTCAATTTTTACTATTTGGGAGAATACTCATCACCAAAATATTCTTGATTTGAGGCAGAAAAAATAAAGTTTCTCCATTATCCTCCAAGGCAGACTGGGTCATTGTTCAATAAGGCTTATGAGCTATGTCAGTCCAGAAAAAACCATTGCGGCTCATGTGCGGTCATCACATGCAGCTTGGTTCTGATCACTAGCTGTTGAGCTACTCTTGTTATCTTACATTAACCAGCCATAGAATTAGAGTTCTCAGACCCATTCTGGAATGTTAAATACTGTGAGGACATGGGTGTGAATGAAGATTATAGGTGAAGGATTTGCTCAACAGCATTTTACAGGCCATTAAACAGCTCTATGAAGAAGTTAATCCTTGCTTTTAACTCCTGTTGGGCTCATTGAAGTTCCTGGACTCTGTTGATGCAGAGAAGCCCTTGTTCGTCTCCTGCAGGTTATCTCAGGAGAGTGAAAGTGGCTAAGGTAATGTATCATACATTGCTGGGTTGTCTCTCCTGAGCTGCCGTTGGTATTCTAAGGAGGAAAGGGTGGTCTTTCCACTGGATGGTCACTTGACTGACGGTTCCATCCCAGGCTGGATGCAGCCAAGTGAGACTGAGTTCATTGAGCCTCCCCCAACGTTCAGAGCCACCACTCGTTGTAATAGCCGTTGACCTCAGTTTGGCAATGCTGCTCATAAGGATGAAAACTGCAGAATTCAGGCTACAGCTTTCATCTCCAAAGGAAATAATTCAGCCTAAGCGCACTCTACCCACCTGCCAAGTCATTTGTCACGTTGTTCAAACAGTAGCAGTAATGCATAGGGAACTTGCCAGGGTCAACATTTTTCACATTAGAAACTGTAGGGAGAGACAGAAAAATCGGTTCAGTATCTAGATGCATGGGCTGTGTGAAAGAAAACGCTCCTGTGTGGAGCAAAGCACCAAGACACTCACTGTTATAAATGGTGACTGACACTTTGTGGAAGGCAAGTGAGCTGTAAGACGTGACGCTCAGCAAAGAGAAGAGCTTTTTGGTACCTGCAGAAACACATACCTATGCTATTAGCGGTTGGAACAAGTTATGAGGACAGCATGTTTTGACTCTGCTCATTTAATTTCTAAAAGATTCCTGAGGTGCTGATACTAAACAGCTGCCTGAGACTCAATTCTTTCTCATTTCCACTGAGGGAAGGATAATTTGTATTATTTCTTCTTCTTTTTTTTTTTTTTTTTTTTTTTTTTTTTTTTTTTAATTCAGATCTACACTGGATTATAAAGTACTTTTTGGAGGCATCCCATAAGTAATTTTGTTGTGTCTATATATAAACACACACTAATTTCTAAATTCTTTGGGGCAGACAGCTATCTGCATTATAAATGTGCAAGGGTAACGTGGTCCTAGAAGCAATTCTGGAGCAGACAGCATGCATTTATGGCTTCTCCAGCCAACATCGTTAGCCCTTTGTCTCATTGACCACTGGGCTGACAGCCTGTGTGACCTGCCTGGCCTTGTCACATTACCTCTGAGCGTTGTGTTCAGCATACCGTTCACCAGCTCTGTCAGGTTAATAGCAGCCAGATCCACAGACTTTGCTGGCAGCTCTGAAAAAGAAGAGGTCTCTGAGCAGTTGGTTGCATGAGGGCACAAGGAAATGATTGTTAATCCCCTGCTTATACAGGGCAAAAATCTTCTGGAATGGGAAAAACAAAATAAATATTGGGAGACACCGAAAAAACTATGTTGAGAAAATAAAGATACCAGAAGTACAGAGAGGAGTCTGGAAAATAAAAAGATAAAACAGGCAGTGCAATGGTTGGCCAAAATGTGGGTCATGCTGTGTGTCACCTCTTCCCTGAAGCGCGCCCTTGAGCGGGGACCAGGGGCCCGAAGCCAGTCCCGACGTTTTGGTGCCCCCTCGTGCTGGGCAATGGCTATTTTTGCCAAAACCGCAGCAGATCTCTCTTCACAGATCACAAATGGAGGAGAAAGTTCTTAGGAAATGTTCCCCCGATGGAAATATAAATTTCCTTTTTTTTTTTCTTCTTTTTTTCTTTTTTTTTTCAGCTACCTTGATGGCTGTTCTGCTACCACAGAATAAATTGACTGTGGCTGAATCATGCTTTTTATTCAACAGAAGTTTTCCTTCTGTTGAAGTAATTTATTTGTTTTTCCCAAATCAAAATTTCTAAAGAGGTTCTTTTGTTTCTCTCCAACAAAGTCGTGAAGACAGAGAGCATTATGTTATCTGTGTGTGTGTGTGAGGAGGAAGGTCTGTGTGTGCATGACAGACAGAGAAAAAACAGAGTAGGATGGAAAAAGAAGCAGAGAAAGCTGAGATGAGAACAAAATTGAATCTGAGGAGAAATACATTTTTCCAATGACACCAGTATCATTTTTAATCAATTCAAAACTGAGCTGCACCCCAGGGCTTGTCCACATGTAGAAGAGGAAAGGGAAAACAAAAGGGAACAGGGAGCTTGGAAGGAGAGAAAAGGAAATGAGAAAACAGCATTTTAGGTTCCTGGAAGGATGGAGGCTAAACTGACCAGGGACCTGGGTAAGTCCTGTGTTGGGTGAGGAGCCCTTGTGGCAGTGGTGGGTTGGGGCTCATAGACTCTGCAGGAGAAGGGCCCATAGGCCACCAGCTCCATATCCAGCACAATACCTCCCACTCCCATTAATACCCCCACGCAGGGTCCCCTGAAGTGCTACTTGTTACCTGCAGTAGCCAGCACTGCCACTTGCTTCTCTTTCTTATGTTCTTTTCTTATGCTTGAAGCTGTAAAATGAAGAAAGAAACAGAATTAGTTTTCCCTGTTGAGTTACCAAGAAACTGCTCTGCACTGGTGTGGCCTCACCTTGAGTACTGTGTACAGGTTTGGGCACCACAGTGCAAAAAGGATCAAAAGCTACTGGAGAGTGTCCAGAGGAGGCCACTAAATTGGTGAAGAGTTTATAGGGGAGGCCATATGAGGAGAGGCTCAAGTCACTTGATTTGTTCAACCTGGAGAAGAAAAGGCTGAGAGGAGACCTCATCATGGTTGTAACTTCTTCATAAGGGGAAGAGGAGGGGCAGGTGCTGATCTCTTCTCCCTGGCAGACCAAAAATAGGACCAAAGGAAACGGCAGGAGGATGTTCCAGGGGAGGTTTAGGCTGGACATTAGGAAAAGGTTCTTCACCCAGAGGGTGGTGGAGCACTGGAACAGGCTCTCCAGGGAGGTGGTCATGACACCAAGCCTGACAATATTGAAGAAGCATTTGGCCAAGGCCCTCAAACACGTAATCTGAATCTTGGGATTGTCCTGTGCTAGGACAAGAGTTGGACTCGATGATCCTTGTGGGTCCCTTCCAACTCACAACATTCTATGACTCTATGATTTTATGAACTCTCTGCCTGGGTTACTTTGCTGCTGTCGTTCATTATAGCTCAGGACTGATGGACGTTAGCACTGCAAAGCAGGCCACTGAGTATCTACAACAGCAGCTCAGAAGCGATGGACATTAGCACTGTAAAGCAGGCCACTGAGTATCCACAACAGTGGCTGATCAGGTGCCTAAGAATAAGGATGTCCTAAAGGACATGCCAGGTCCTTTACCTGCCAGCTAAAGAAAGAAAACAGTTAAATATCAGAGCTTGCCCCCTTAACTCAAGAATCAAAAGGAAAAAAAATAGTTGCAAACCGTTGTAGAGGTCTGCACTAGGCTTGCACACAACATTGCCTGCAAGGTACATGTTATAATAATGCCCAATCTAAACAAATCTTCACAGCCTGTGTGCATGTTTGTTATTCAGCGAAGTCATTCGATTGAGTACTGTTCTTGAGAGCTGTGTTGCGGGAGCAATGGAGTGGAGATGGTCTCAGTAGATTGGACTTGCTTTCTGGGATTCCCTCAGTGACTGACAACAGCAAAGTGCAGAGCAGCAAATTAGACTTTGCAGGACAAATTGAAGTGCAGAAGTTTTGTGCTTAGGCTCCCTGTGCAATCAGTGGAGAGCTGAGTGATTCCAAAGAGTAACCCAGAAGGCTCCCTAAATCATGGAATCATAGAATCATTTAGCTTGGAAAAGACTTTTAAGATCATTGAGTCCAACCATAAACCTCACCCAAGTCCACCATTAAACCATGTCCCTAAGCACCACTTCTACATGTCTTTTAAATACCTCCAGGGATGGTGACTCAACCAATTCCTTTGGCAACCTGTTCCAATGTTTGACAACTCTTTTGGTAAAGAAGTTTTTCCTAATATCCAATCTAAACCTCCCCTCGTGCAACTTCAGGCTGTTTCCTCTTGTTCTATTGCTTGTTATTTGAGAGAAGAGATTGACAATCACTTTGCTAAAACCTACTTTCACATAGTTGCAGAGTGATAAGGTCTCCCCTCAGCCTCCTTTTCTCCAGACTAAACAACTCCAGTTCCCTCAGATGTTTTGCATAGAACTTGTTCTCTAGACCCTTCACCAGCTTCATTGCCCTAAAGGAGCCAGTGCTAGAAAATTCTAACCTTTCATGCTTCTGTGAAGCTTCAGCTTCTCAGTCTATCCAGGCTTCCCATAGAGAGGGACCTCTCCTGGGATCTGATGGTGAGGAGGTCTCACCTTAGTGGTGGTGGTGTACTGCTCTGTGTTGTGACCTAATGGACAGAGTAGTCACCAGGGAGTAGGAAACCTAGGTTCAAAATCCTCTTCATCAAGAGGAAATCTGTAGAACTGGAAGCAGCAGAAGAAAGAAGAGATGTGACTGCATGATCTGCCCAGTGCTCGTCCTTATTTGTACAGGACTCTGTACCTTGTACAGAAGGCGATCCTGGAGCTGCTTGTGCCTAAATTGGTGAAACCCCAGTGCTCGTCCTTATTTGTACAGAACTCTGTACCTTGTACAGAAGGCGATCCTGGATGCATTTCCCTTTCTCCTTTCTTTCTTTCTTTCTGCATAAGGAAAAATATCCTATGAATAATTCATGGTGTAAGGTCTGTAAACTGTGGCTCCTCATATGATGCCAGTCACCTGTATTAACAACTTTCACTTAGTATGAGTTAAATTTGGTTCAATTATCTGGGTGGTAAGAGCTCTTCTAACCCTTCTGACTCCAGATTCATGGCATGGGAGACCAGAGCAAAATTTTGCCATCATCTAGTCCATTCTGGTGCCTGGCATGAACGCTGGAGCTTCAGCCCATCAGCCTTGCCTACACAGGGTGAAAGAATCAAGCCTGACACAGATGTGGGAATGGGGCTATGGGCAAAATTGGGAAAGACACACTTGAGTTTTTCCCTGCAGAGCACCAAATCATTGTCCTTACCTGTGTTGCAAACCAGAAAGAGACACAGAAATCCCAGGATTATCTTCACTGGCACATGCCAGCAGAACCACTGCATCATGGACTCTAACTTCCAGCAATTTGGGCTGCTCTAGGAGAAAGAAATACTGTTTTGGTGGTAAAGCATGTGGTATTGTGCAATTTTGTCCAACACTTATCCCAGAAAAATGTGACCATGAGAGAAATATTAGGTCTCTGGGATGCAGAGGAAAGATTGGTGGTATAAATGGCAAAGAATCAGAAATCACACAACCAGTATTTTCTGTGTATGTGTATGTATCATGAGTTTAGTATTTAACTCTTTATTGAGTCCTACATAGTTGCTGCCTTAGAGGGACTTGATAAGGTCCTCTTCTCTGGCAGGATGACTTGTGCCTTAGGGACACTGACACATCAGGTGCCTAAATCCATTCTGTTGAAGCAGGATAAAATTTACTTCTGTTCAATTTCAGAGTAGATATCAACTAAGCTACTTATCTGCAGAAATATTTCTTGCTCAGTCACCCCTAGTCTTGTATTTCTATAGTTAAATATTGGCACCAAACTCTCCTGTGCTGCCTTGCCTAGTTACTTGGGAGGGATTAACGGTGCTCTGCCTTTCAGACAATGAACTGCTTTCCAGAGTTTAAAGATTTAATTAGACATGGTTAGAAAAAAATAAGGAATGTCCTTGCTTCTGTGTATGTTCCTCTCTGTGTAATATAGCAACATGTCAAATAGCCCTGTAGTTGTCAGAAAATGAGGGAGCACGCGAAAATTAGAAAAAAAGTCCAAAAAATTCCTTTGTATCTTCTCAGAGTAGCTAATCTTGTGACTATGCAGTAAACCATTATGTTGAAGATAATACTGTTTGATTTACAAACTATTATCATAATATTTAAAATCTTTCTCATATTTAGTTCATTAAAAAATTAATACATTTTGAAAATAACTAATTTGTACTTAATAGTTCTAAAGAGACTCTGCCTTGGGATGGTGAAACAATATCAAGCATTTCTGTGTTTGAAATGTCTGTGTTTGCTTGCCTGAGGAGTCAAAAACACTTAAGTGACAGCTCTGCTAATTTAAACGAAACCATGGCCAAATCTCACTCCCCAGACTTCATACTCCACCACCTTTCTATGAGCTGGACTAATTATGCATGGACCAAGTCCAGTGTCCTGTGGACCAGTTTAGCATCAAAAATCCTAAACTTTGCAACAATAATTGGGATCTGACCAATCAACTAGACTAAGACCATGAATGTATTGCTGGCATGAGAATCACAGGGTCTGAAATCCCATCAAGGCTATTCCTGCTACCACTGTCTGGTATTATGAAGCTTTACTGGGACTGGTAACAGCTTTTTCTATGGACCTGTGGACTCTGTAGTTATGGGAGACTGTAACATGGTAGCTCAAGCCTGCTAATAAGCTCACATGATGGAAGCGATGGTGATGTAGTCTGCACTGATGTTGGTATAAAACTAATGCACATTTACAGATTCTGCTCAGTATTATATTTTTTCTCCTCTTTGGTTTGACTGTATGAAACCGAGAGGAGTTAATGAGACATACTCCTCAGTAGTGCTGAATTCGAAGAACTGGTGCTTTGAAAAGGTGGGGGGAGGTAGTTGTTGGGGAGAGCAGGCTCTGGGGTCAACTGGGGCTGTGGGATGGAGAGTTGAACTATCACATCAAGGGGAAGGTTGTAGCTACCTATGTTTTGGAGCAGGAGGTCTAGGGAGGTTGGTGCACTTAGTCAATTAAGTGCAATGTTAAGAGGGAACTGTTGGGTTGTGTGTTTGAATGAGGTCAGCAGTGGGGTGATTTGCTGTTTGTTTTATGGAACTTTGTGAATTTTTATTCCTGTACACTGTCTTCTTAGCTCTGGAAGACGTGTGTTACAATGAACCACGATTCGTGATGACGGTTCAGTGTTTATGAGCCACAGATCTTCCCCTGAGCAAGTTCCTCATGACCCATTCCCTGCACACAGGGTGTGACCAGGCTGCACGGCTAGTGTTGTCTTTGTGCATGCCAACCCAGGGGACATCAGTATGAAAGATGGCCAAAAGCAGTGCTGCCACTGTACCATCCCTGCAGCAGAAGACTGATCTTGGCTGGAGGGTCTCTGCTGGAAAAGAGCCCAAACCTCTACCCTTCATGAGGATTTTGGTTGCATGGTGACTCAGATCTAGGAGGTGGGAGAAGAGGACATCCTCTGCTCCACTTTCAGCCTGCTCCTACATATCAGTGGTCACTGCTTGTGACAGCATGAGGAGACTTGATTTACAGCATGTGGTTTTGAGGAACGTGGGCTTTCCTGGATCACCAGTGAATCATGTTTGGACTAACACAGAAATCCTTGGTAAGAGCATTTCACAAACTGATGTGCAAGCACAGCTGTTCTACAAAGGTTCATGAGTAAAAGGGTTGATAGGGTGTAGATAATTTTGCGTTAGGGATTTAAATTCATTATTAATTTATTTAAACTGGCCCAGAGCTGTTCATGGCAGCAGGATGAGGGAAATAATCTGTCAGAGGACTCGGCACAGCAGGATAAGGCAGGGGCTAGAGAGAACACATTCCCATGAAACAGAGAAGAAGTAAGAAGATTGACATATGAAGGAATTGTCCTGCCAAAGTACCTTAAGAGAGAGAGAAAATAAAGGAGCAGCTTTAAAAGCAGAAACAAAATTGAAAGAGATAGAAAGTTGTGCTCGGAAGCATCCCGTGCACATTGAGAGAGAGATGCTTCTTCCTCACCTGAATCTGCAGCTCCCCGCTGTCCTCCCCACTGAGCTGCTCCTCCACACTAACCAGCACACACGATTTTCTCTGCGTACAAGGCAAATCAGAGCAGGCATTAGTCTGGCAATAACACCCACAGTTAACTGAGGTGTGATTACACATTACAGACAACCAAACAGAACACCTGATGACTGGGACAACATGTGAACATAACCTGGAAGGATGGATTAGAATAAGCCAAATCCTCTTCTGTTTCTAGCAAAGAAATATTAAATAAAATTGGTACAAAATGAATGGAATATCCTCCAGTCATGGAAGGGCTTGTTTTGCCTGAATGTCAGATTTAGCACTGTGGTGTCCTGTGGCCAGTGAAAGATGTTTAAAAAGAAATTGCAGAGAAATCTCAATACTGAGAGCATCGCTCTAGAAAGGACTACTCAATAGGCAGAGATTGATTTAAATTTGAAACATTAGGTTTTAGCTGCTTTCCAAAATCTTTTCCCAACATTAACTTTCTGAACATTTATGCTACCCAATTAAATTTCAAAGCTATCTGTGACAAATATTCCTCGAACTGCTGCCTGAAATACCCTCTCAGCAATGTGGATATTAGTAATATTAACTCTCATGGTTATTTTTTTGTTACTCTGGTTATCAAATTTTTATCTATCACGGACAAGTATTTCCTACTTTGTAACTGTGCTTCTTGTTTGCCAGCGTAAGTGATACTACTGTGATTACTAAAATACATGTCCAGATTGAAAATATGAAATCCTCATTGTACTCTAGCTTGAAATCACTCACCATTTCCATTTCAAAACATTGTGAGATTCATAGACACTATAGGCACAGGTGCCACACAACCATCCCATATACCAACTCTCACTGAATATTTTCCTTCAAAACATTTATCTGATACAGGCTGCAGGTCAAGCCTTTAGTTACAAATTCTCCTTCACCTCTACTGGCTATAATAATCCTTCTCTTGTGTTTATTTGAAGCTGAATGGTATTATTAGAATTCATTTTACTTAGAACTGTCGATCCAGAGTTCTCTGAACTGCTGAACTGGATATTTTAATCCAGTTCAATTTACCTTTATACACTCATGAAGACCTCTTATTAAATATCTCTATGTCATTATAGATTAACAGAAAACTTAAACCAACATGTTTATTAACTATGCTCAATTTGAACTCAACTCAATGTGGCAAGTAACCACAAAGTTTGAATTGTTTTCATTTTTCCTGTACAAAAAGAATGCAATCACATGTCAAGTAGTTTTTCCTTGTCTTCACGCTAACCAGAGCAGAAAAGAAGTTAAGAGAACAAATAAATAAAAAAGCAAATCCTTGAATATTTATTTCCTTACCTTTTCAGTTTCAACATCTAAAGGTCATCTCATTTTAAGCACACCATGATGCACCAGGTCTAAAGAAATATTGCATGTTACTATGAAAATATGCCCGTGTTAGTTACGCGCTTCATTAAACTGTTACAACTCCTTTTCAAGTTCAGATCTGTTTGTATGAGAATTTAAAAAAAATGTAATAAATATGCGTATAATAAAAATACATTTCATTTTCCACATTTCCACCAAGTATTAATAGCACAGTTGAAATGGTTTTCTTCAAGTACATGTGAAACTGGAATAGTTAATATCAATTTACCTGATTTCTCTTGACAAAGGTGATTGTCTTCAGAGCCTATATAAAACTGGAGGTTACTGCCAGGTCTCAATAATCACTTCATGAAAGACTTGGAGTAGACAGGCTTGATAATCTTGCTTTAAAATCCTGTGTAAATTGTTATCCTAATCCCAGAAGGACTAACTAGAGGTAACACAATCATAAGCACACAAAGTGCCCGTTGAATCCCGCATGGAAAGGCTCTGTGGCAGATCAGGTGAGGACTGGAAGCTCCTTTTGGCAGTAGTGACTTGAATTGTGGAGCAGAAAGGATTTTTATCCTTTTAAAGGGGCAGCTCATCTTACTGCAATTAGGCCAATGCCACCTTTGATGGTGAGAGGTAGGCCAGGGTAAGCCCCTTTGGTAAAGCTTTAGCTACCCTTGGAGAAGTGATTTAAATAAGGGGAGTTGTTGAGATGACAGAGGAGAAACCTGAAGTGTACCTTAAATGTAGAAAATCAAAGGGAAAAAAAAATGACAGTTAAAACAGATATTTGCCTGGCATTGTGGTTAAGTGGTGAGGAAAGAAGAGAGATCTTGTCACAATGGTGATGTAGGACCATTTTGGTGATGATGAGTGATGTCTGGTATTACCCAAGACACAATCAGTGTTGGAAGCAGTGGGTGAAATTCTGCTCCTA